TGTGTCTTGACAATAATATAGGTAGTCCTCAACTTACTATTATTTCTTTAGCAACCATTTGAAGTTACTATCTTGCAAGCAATTCTTGCACTTATGATTGTTACAGCATCCCCATGTTCAAATATAGATTCGGGTAATTATGAGGGTTGCAGCACCCTGGAGTCACATGATCGCCACTTTGTGACCTTCCCAGCCATTTTCCAACAACCAAAGTCAATGGGAGAAGTTGGATTTGCTTAACAACCAACTGCATGCTTCACTTAACAACTGCAATGATTTGCATAACAAGCATGGCAACAAGTGTTGTAAAATTGGGCACAACTAACTTAATAACCGCCTCTCTTGGCAATGGAAATTCTAGTCCCAACTGGTCGTAAGTTATAGGTCCCCTATAAACAAGGCAACTAGAAGGAAGAAAGGAAATAATGTTTTGGAAAAACGAGATGTGGCATTTTGTGCGAAGAGATCAAGAGCTGAAAATGTCGTTGACGCCAAAGCTTTTGAAAGGCTGCTCTATGAAACATGCCAAGTATACCTAGAAGAATATTTATCTTCTTCAGCATAGCAAACACTCAAAGTGTCTGAATGTTGACTTTTTCAAAGTATAACTGTCACTTTACATTGATTAAATAGCCCTTAGGCACAGATCTGGCAACAAAAATATGCCCGCTGTTGTTGTTTTTTAGTCGCACCAGGTTAAAAAAGAAGAACTGAACCAATGATGTGAAATACAAAAGCTGGAGGCAGAACTAGGAGGCAGAGTTAAGCATGTCATCAGCTTAGAGTCCTTACGTTGCCACAAACGATCCAAGTCTAGAACCTCCTTGAATTCCTTTGACCTTTATTTAGTGCCAATTTAGTGCTGACTGTTAATCAGGGGTGGGCTGCCGGGGGTTTGCAGGGGTTTGGGAGAACCTCTAGCTAAGATTCTGAGCAGTTTGAGAACCCCCAAATCCCACTCCTGGCTGGCCCCACCCACCCCACCCCTCCCAAGAGTCCCCATGCGGCCCATTTTGGATGCAGGGAAGTGCAGGCCGTGCGGGGAGGCTTGGGGAGGGCGAAAAACAGGCCTACCGGAAGTTCGGGAAGGCCAGAAACCGGCCCGTTTCTGGCCTCCAGAGGGCCTCTGGAGCCTAGGGAGGCCATTTTCACCCTCCCGGAGGCTCGAAGAAAGTCCAGAGAGGGCAAAAACGTCCCCCCCTGCCGTGGTGCAAGAGGCCGATTAGGCCATACTCACCATGGCCACACCCACCCAGCAACTGGACAGAGAACCTAAAATTTGCTAAAATTTTTGAAGCCCATCCCTGCTGTTAATCAACTCTTCTGTATAGGCTCGAATAAATCTTCTATGCTGCAATCTAGCGAATGGTCCTGATTCTTTGCACTTCACAAACCCCTGTAAATTAATTCTTAATTTAGATATTAATTCAGATACAATCAGGCCTGGTGAACAAGTGTGAGACTTAAGAATGAATCTCTACTGACATTGATAAACTGGATCCTATCTATGTTGTTATCTGAGGAACTGTCTCACCCCAATGGGATTGGCCTGCCCCACCCACATCAGCAGGAGTGGCATGCTGAGGACCCCTTGGTCAAGGAATTCTGGCTCATGGGGTCTGGAAGAAGAGCCTTTTCTGCCATGGCTCCTGCCCAGCAGAACATTGTGCACCCCACAGGTCAGGGGTCAGCAACCCGTGGCTCTGGAGCCGCCTGTGGCTCTTTCATCTCTTGGCTGTGGCTCCCTGTCACTCAAAATATGTGTCACAATCGCCAATCTGCAACATCCATAGGCACTCGATTTATTGAGCTTTTTGACCCCCGTAGGCCAATCATGGATAAATCCAAGAAAAGAAAAGTTTCAGAAGAAAACAGAAGGTTTAATTCAACTACATATGCTAGTTTGTGGCCGCTCTGGAAATAGTAAGGCATGGAAAAGGTTTTGTGGCTCCCGGTGTTTTCTTTTCTGTGGGAAACAGGTCCAAATGGCTCTTTGAGTGTTTAAGATTGAAGTGAAATCCAACCCAACATTCTTGGCCTTGAGAAAGGTTCTGAACAGCTGGTCTGAGGTTCATTCTGGAGGATTAAGACAAGACCCCCACCTCCTCTCCAAGGGCAATTTGCTCCATTCCTCCCCATCTTTGTCGATTTTAATCCAATGTAATGTGACTATTTAGCGTTTTAGCGTCTTATCGTGGTTTTAGTGGATTCTAAACTGCCTAAAGTTTTTCTAGACGAGAGGAGGGGCAGATAAGCCAAATCAATAAATACACAAACAGCGCTTTCAGAAGAGGGCAGAAGATGTAGAAGATACTGAAAAATTACTGAAAAGAAGAGAGTTGCAGTTGCTCCACGATGAAGGAAAAGCACTACATGTGTATTTAGAGATCCTCTGTGTTATCATGACAACATCCAACGGAATTGCTGTCTTAATTCAAACTGACAAGTCACTTCTTCAGAGCCCCTGGTCCTGAAGGCGACTAAGTCATAGGCCATTTCCGCAGCAATAACTTACAGCATCCTTGAGTCATTCATCTCCACGGCAATCTATCACTAGGAGAAGGGTTCTAAATCTCTCAGCGATTGCTGAATGAGACTGTAAATCACCACTATGGAAATGAAAGTTGCTAGACTAACTCAAAAATAGGGTTCTCCAACCTTGGCAACTTTAAGACTTGTGGACTTCAACTCCCAGAATTCCTCAGCCAGCTTTGCAAAGCTGGCTCCCAGAATTCTGCAAAGCTGCAGAATTCTTTGCAAAGCTGGCTGAGGAATTCTGGGAGTTGAAGTCCACAAGTCTTAAAGTTGCCAAGGTTGGAGACCCCTGCTCTAAAAGACATAAATCAGTGGTGGGCTTCAAAAATTTTTTACTACGAGTTCTGGGGGCGTGGCTTGGTGGGCGTGGCAGGGGCCATTCCCACCCCACTCAAGGGAAAAGGTACTGTAAAATCTCCATTCTCACCCCACTCCAGGGGAAGGTTACTGCAAAATCCCCATTTCCACTCGATCAGCCACATTTTTATTTTATTGTTTACACAATTTACCTAACTCAGACCACATTAGATGAAATTATTCCCTTCTACAAAGCCACTGAAGGTTTCAGTGACCTGGTTATTTTTATTTATTTAAAAACGATCTAAAAAAAAACCACAGTCCCGGCTCGCAGGCTTAAAGAAAAACAAAATTGCTTTAGTATCAATTATTAATGTAAAAATTGATCTGACGTTTCTCTAACCCCACATCAATCTCAAAGTGTGTAAATGTTAAGACATAGATACTGATTAACAGTAAGAAAGTAATTATTGACACGTCATACAAAGGTTGCCCTAACAGTTCAGATTAATATTGATAAAATGCTTTAAACACTGCACCCCACCCACCCCTTAAAAAGTTTCCTATGTCAGTGGCTCCACATCTGCCCTTCTTAAATTTAAAATCTATACCCAGGCTTTATCATGGGAAAAAAAACAACCTTAATTGTCCATATCTTTGCTCACAATTAAGTTTTCAAGGGTTGCAATTCTGGGCATTATCATGCGTGGTTTAGTTACTTTAATCATATCCATTCCTACCCACTTTGGAAAGCTCTCAAGGTGGTAAAACCCTAACTTCGAAGGGAAGTAATTCTGCCCACCCTAGAAAGGAGGGGAGGGGGAGGTAATTACCCCAGCCAGCAAGTCAAAATGTACTTTTGGCTTTCACATCCTCCAGAGATTCCAATTTTTAAACCACCCCCTTCTTTTAAGACCATAAGCCTGAGTTTGTGTGTGTGTGTGTGTGTGTGTGAGAGAGAGAGAGAGAGAGAGAGAGACTGTGTGTGTGTGAGAGAGAGAGAGACTGTGAGAGAGAGACTGTGTGTGAAAGAGTGACACTGTGTCTGTGAGAGAGAGTGACACTGTGTGTGAGAGAGAGAGACTGTGTGTGTGTGAGAGAGAGACTATGTGTGTGAGAGAGACTGTGTGTGAGAGTGACACTGTGTGTGTGTGTGAGAGAGAGAGACTGTGTGTGAGTGAGTGACTGTGTGAGAGTGAGACACTGTGTGTGAGAACAAGTGACACTGTGTGTGTGTGAGAGAGAGAGACTGTGTGTAAGAGAGTAACACTGTGTGTGTGAGAGTGAGTGAGACACTGTGTGTGTGTGTGAGAGAGAGAGAGACTGTGTGTGAGTGAATGAGTGAAACACTGTGTGTGTGTGTGTGTGTGTATGTGAGAGAGAGAGAGAGAGAGAAGAGAAGAGAAGAGAAGAGAAGAGAAGAGACGCTCCATTTTGCGCTTTAAAGCCACCCCCAACCAATGCAAAACCACAGATGGAAGAGCTGAGATTCAGAAGAAAAAGCAGCCCTTTCAACCAAGACCCAATTTGCCGACTGAATTTGCGCTACCCAAGACTGAGAGGGGAACCAAAACGCTGATAAATAACCGAGGGAATCAGCTTAGGATCCCTTTGGAGGTGGTGGTGGTGGGGAGGTCCGCTTTAAAAGATTTGGAAAAGCGGGAAAGCGGGATATTTATTTATTTGTGACGAAGTGGGGATGTGGGGGGGGGGGGGCCTGTGTCGAGGTTTCCTCAGAGTGAGGCTGCAGGTGTGTCGGGCGTCGCAGTCCAAAGTCCTCCGAGAGTTCTGAATAGGGATGGAAAAGCGGGGGGGGGGGCGGGGGGGGGGACCCCGACCCACCTGAGGGACCCAGATGGAGAAGGGCTCCGAGCACCTCTCGCAGAAGGCGGGACGATCCGCCTCGCCCGCGCAGCGCTGGCTGAGGCTGGGCTGGGGGAGCCTCTCAGTCAGGTCCCGCTGCTCCCGCGCCCCTTCTCCGGGAAATCCACCCGCGAAGGGGCGGCGGGGAAGGGAAACGCGCGCGGCCAAACGCCGGGAGGCAGCTCCAAGCGGGCAGCGAGCGCCTGGCCGTTTCGGCAACCGTGGTGCCCCCTCGGGCTGGTCGACGGGCGCGCTTCCCTTGGGACCCACGGGGATGCCCGGCCCGATATGCGGCTGGCACTCACCTTCTCCCGGGCAGGACTCTTAGCGGAGCGCCCTGGAGCGTCTTCTGGCACCGCTCGCCGCCATGCTCGGGGTGCGCACCAGCCGGCCGGCCCCTCCCCGGGCGTCCTGGTTCAGGTGATGCGGCGGGCTGGGCTGGCCCAGGCGGGGACAAGCCCGCTTCCTCCTCCGCCCCGGCTGCTGGCCCGAGAACGAGCGAGCCTCAGCGCCTGCTTTTGCGCCCAAGAGAAGGACGAGGGAGCTGGTCCTGCGCCCCCTTTTTATCTTCAGGGCGGGGGGCGTGGTGGACGGGGGAAATCGCGCTCTGAAGCATGTGCAGAGCGCGCCTCTCTACCGTTCGCCGCGAGGGTGCACCCCGCCAGGCATCCAGCTGCTGGCGTTTCCCTTCTCTCTCCCCCGGTAGTGTTTTGACTTATTAAAATGTATTCAATTCAAAGCATTTGCTTTTTGAAACTACTAATAACCTATGTATAGGTAGAGAGACAGTAGACGTCGCTGTGTAAAAACTGAGTTACACTTCATTCAGCATAAAATCACCCAGGTTGCCCCAAAGCCTTATCATCTTGGGTTTTTTACCCAAATAGCTTTTTCTGGGTTTTTAAAAGAGAGAGCCTTCTCTGTGGGGACACCTACTCTTTGGAACAAAATACCCCCGGAATACAAATAATCCCAGATCTTCGCTTTCCTAGGTGCCCTGAAGACCTTTCTGTTTCAACAAGCAGGGCTAGCATAAACATCTAAATTCTATGCCAAGGTGTTAGCAGATACACCAAGTTGACTCAATTTATTATTTACTGTTTATAAAAAGAAAAAATATTATATGTATATGAAATCTTAATCTGTTCACCGCCCTGAGTCCTTCGGGAGAAGGGCGGTATAGAAATTCAGTAAATAAATAAATAATAAATAAATAAGAGAGCCTAAGAGTTGTGGAGTGGGTGACGAGGTGAAAGGAGAATATTGAAGTATCTACAAGAGAGTTAGGCACTTTTCTGCTGTAGTTTCTGGGGCAGGAGTTCCCAAATGTTTGCAGCAGAGGAGATAAAAGTCACTTCCGAGTTTCCCAGATAAATCTGTAAGGCGATAAATCATCTGCTTTTGTCCAACGAACAGGTGAGAGGGAGGAAACTTTCCTTGCTTCCAGTTCAGGTGTGGCTGGAGGCAAAGTTCCTAGGTAGCCTTGGAAGTTTGGTTGTGCCTGGACAATAGTCCAAATCAGAACATGGCCCGGTAGTTATAGACTGACTTCATATAACTTAAAGAGAAGCCACGTTTTCCACATTTATCGAGTGGTACCTAGATAAATAGGTACCACTTTTTCCATGCGCCTCGGCATATAGTCATAGCAATAGCACTTAGCACTTACATCAGGGATGGCGAACCTATTACACACCAAGTGCCCAAACTGTGTGCGCACGCATGCCCAAACTGAAAGGGTTACATGTAAATGCGTACATGAGTGGCCATGTGCGTGCATGCGCAGCAGAGACCCAAAGACCAGCTGGCTGGCAGGAGGCGAGGCATCCCAACACCGGCAGCGCGGCAAGAGGTAAGATCTTTTTCTTTTGTGAGCTTCTGTTTAGTCATTTGCAGGAAAACAGAAGCTCACGAAAGAATCGCCACGGAGATCTGACCTGGGGCAACGGCGTGCGTGCCAGCAGAGAGGGCTCTGGGTGCCATTAGGTTCGCCGTCACGGATTTAAGATTTATATACCAGTTCACAGGCTTTACAGCCCTCTCTAAGCAGTTTACAGAGTCAGCCTATTGCCCCCAACAATCTGGGTCCTCATTTTACCGACCTCGAAAGGATGGAAGGCTGAGTCAACCTTGAGCCTGATGAGATTCGAACTGCCAAATTGTTGGCAGCCGTTGATCAGCAGTAGTAGTCTGCAATACTACACTCTAACTACTGTGCCACCACGTTCATGCTGGCCACATGATCACAGAAAGAGTCTTTGGACAATCCTGGCTCCCTCAGCTAAGAAATGGAGAGGAGCACCGCCTCCCCACCCCCCAAATCGGTAACAAGTGGACAGGGCAAATCTTTACCTTTACTCTTACAATCATCTCCAATTTGGTGGGCCCCAGCATTGGTGTCCAGCCCTGACTATGATGAGGCCACATGCATTGTGTCATTCATGTGCGACATTCCTGTTGTTTTGTGGGACGATGTCATCTCACCACTGATGCCACTTCCCTTGAGGAGGCCTTGCGCTCTGGAAGGGATTTTAGTAAAGGATGTGTTGGCTAAGAATTCTGGGAATTGAAACCAATACATCGGGAAGGTATTGGTTCCAGTCCCCATTGTGGGAGGTGGGCTTAAAGAGGTCCCAGCTCACGATCTCTTTGTGTGGTGGGAGACTTCATGTTTTTTCTGTTTAGATTATATTCATGATTTGAAAAGATATGTGCAGGTAGCCTTGACTTATGAACAAAAATAGAGCCTGCTCATACGGTGCGATGCTGGTGAAGTGGATCATCATGCGACGGGCTCAATTGTACAACTTTTTGTTGCAGCAGTCGTTAAGCGAATGCGTTGTTCACTGTGGAACATTTTTACCAAACACTGGAAAACACCATAATTGCCGAGCACCCAAAATGCAAGTCCAATAACCATGGGGTGGGGGTGGTTGGGGCCATCAGAACTTTGGAACCAATCATAGCTACATTTTCGGGGTCCTGCTCACTGCTAGAAGTGACCTGTGGTGAGCATCCATGTTCTTCCTGGTGGCCTTTCAAACATGGCTTCTCTTGGAAACTGACCTTGGTGTTCCTTAAAATTTCTTGGCACTCAAACAAGCAGGATCTTCCTCCCCCACTCCCGCCCCATGCCTTGAAGGTCAGAATTGGATTTTCTTTCCTAAAGCAATGGTTAAAATGCACTTTAAAACACTCATACTGGCAATTTTTCTCAGAAACTACATTTTAATGTAGGAGGGGGAGCAGGCTTCCTCAAAAATAAGACCCAACTGGAAAGTAAGTCCTAACATCATTTTTCAGGATGATCGTAATATAAGCCCTACCCCCCAAAATAAGCCCCAGTTAAGATTGTCAGCCAGATGGATGCATTTAATACCGTATTTTCCCCCCAAAATAAGACCTAACCAGAAAATAAGCCCTAATGCGTCTTTTGGAGCAAAAAATTAATATAAGACTTGGTCTTATTTTCGGGGAAATACGGTATTTATCCAAACATTTGAAGGAGCCTGCTAGCTCCTTTTCAGATGGACAAATCTTATTTAAAAAGCACAAGTTTTGCTTCTGGGTTTCAACATGGGCTCGTTTTGAAACAAGGAAGGGCTGTAGGGCACACAATATTAGTTTCTTCGCCTTCTGACTCCCTCCTACACAAGCCGAGTCCTGCACAAGCAGTTTAACTCTCTGCTGGCGTTGCCGCCTTCCACCAAAGGGCCACTTTCTACATTTAGATGAATGAGCCTATTGATTGAGTTTCTCTCCTCGGCCTAAAACTGAAGCTGGAGGGACCACATGGCCAAATTCTCTTTTCGGGCATTGCTGAACTAATGCCCCTTCCTGCAGATTTAAAACAAGCATGTTTGCCCACAAGCTATTTTTACTCCCTGCGTAGGGAGCTTTTGCTTTTTCCACACAGGGCTGCATTCCACATACTGTACCATCTTTCTCTCTCTCTCCCACACCCCCACCACCCCAAAGGCGTCTAATCCAGCAAAAGCTTCTTAGTTGATTTTGTGGAACGTTTATAAAAACGGGATAGGGGTCTGTCTCATTTCAGTTTATTTTTTCATTTTTCTCTTCTTTAATGGAAATGAGAGTTCTCCCGTAAATCAAGGTCAAAATCCTGTTGTGGACATGTCAATGATTTTTTTTTTAACCAACTGATTTGATTTTATTTAGCAAGTTTTTAAGATGTGTGGACCTCCCAGAATTCCCCAATTGGCACAGCAAACACTGGTAGTCTCACACCAACTAAAGAATATTGAAACCTATTGAAAGGTTTCCTCATTGGCATGCAAGTCCAAAGTTTATTCGGAGCTGTGCAGGGGTATTCGATTCTGTTCCTCCTCCAAGTGGCCTGTGCAGCTCCATTTCACAAAAGACTCTTCCACCTTGTTTATTTTCACAAACATGAATACAGCCATTTATTTATTTATTTTTAACCGCAGAAGAGGATTAGCAGTTTGCTGGCAAGATAATAGCATAATACTCTGGAAATGCAACAACAGCTATGCGTGAGTAAACAATAAGTAAATATTTACAGTTCAGGAAGAAAGAACTGTCATAGTAAAGGGGAGCCAAAGTTTGTTAAGATTTATATAAGGCAGAGTAGGCCTAAATTAGCCCTGGCTGTTTAATGATTTGCAAGACTGCCGCTCCTTATCCCTTTCATTGAATTGTGTTAACTGGGAAAACAATTATGTTTCACAATGGGAGACTCCACATCTGGATGATTTTGTCATTTGTTCAATCAGATTCTCTTTATATACTTTACTGGCTGTACAACGAAGCCCTACTAACACACAGAAGCAAAGATATGCAATATTATTATTTTTTTAAAAAAAACATTTTTTTCCATAGATTGAACATCTTTCCTGCTGTTAAAAGACAGGATTTTATTTATTACCTTATGAAGACTGGATCCCTTCCTTCTATTGACCTTGAAACTTGCAAAATACTGGACTAATTAACCAACTACAGCTTCAATAGCACTGATAATTCTGTTTCCTGATCAGCCTAAACAGAAATAAAAAAGATCACAGAGTTTTTTGAAAGATAATACAGATCACATCACATCCCCTGGCTGCAAATGTTATGTAATGCAAGCCATGAATATGTTAAGCCCTTACAAAGCACGTGAAGGACAGATAGAGAATATACAAAATTGTGTCAAATCAGTCTCAAGGCCAGTTGTTCTGTTTTCAAAATGGCCCATCAGGTGCCCAAAAGGTTGGGGGTTGCTGCATTAGAAGTTCTGCCATTATGAAGGTATTGAGGAATCTGGTAAGGAATTACTGTATAAGATGCACTTTTTTCCCCCCTAAAAGGGGGTGAAAATTTAGGTGCGTCTTATACACCGAATGTAGCCCCGCCCACCTGCTGGCCCCCATCCTTTGGCCTCTGCCTTCCAGCAATTTACCTCCTTGCAGCAAGCAGAAGAAACAGCTCATTTCAGCTTCAGCACAGCCTAATTAGCACAAGTTGATTGGATTGGCCTCCCGACTCTCAGCTGTTTTGTGCGGACCTCTGCTACTTGCTGCAAGGAGGTAAATTGCTGGAGCAGATTTTTTTTTCCTTGTGCTAATCAAGCTATGCAGAAAACGAAAATGAAAGTAAAGCAGGCTGTTTGCTGCAAGGAGGCAAAATTGCTGGGAGGCAGAGGCAGATTTTTTTTTCTTGTTTTCCTCACCAAAAAAGGTAGGTGCGTCTTATACTCCGAAAAATATGGTATCTTCAAAACAATGACCCAACTCACTTGTTATCTAGTACCAATTAACATATATAAAAAGCAGACAAAATTAAACCAAATTTCATACTTGGGTATGGCTGCAATGATTTTCTCTGCTTACTTTCCTTTTTCCTGCCCTCAATGGTGTTGAAAATTCTCTGCCATAACCATTTTACAGAGATAACAAGGGAACTCAATGGCCACATTTTCTGTTGTCCTCAGAAAAATTCTGCTGATCACCATTAGCCTGGCTAGGTGGCTCAGTAGCTAAGACACTGAGCTTGTTGATCAGAAAGGTCGGCAGTTCGGCGGTTCGAATCCCTAGTATAGGTCTCCTGCATGAGCAGGAGATTGGACTAGATGACCTCCAAGGTCCTTTCCAACTCTGTTACTGCTACAATCAGTAGGGATAAGCAAATCTCTCTCTGTGTCTCTGTCTCTTTCTCTCTCTCTGTCTCTCTCTTCGTACAGAAGGCATTTGAAAGTAGGTAGAGGACCACATGGCCTCAAATCATACACTACCAAGGTGTGTTGTATCCATTTTCCTGATGGATGAATAAAAGAGCGCACCCAGCATGTTCAGTGTTCTTCAACTGGGACTCCCCACTAGCATGTTAAGAATGTAGGAGGTAATGAAAGGCTGAGATCCCAATCTTCACATTTTACAACAGTAAATAGCAAACCTCACTACTATGAGTTTCTCATCACATTACCCTATAATCCATCAGCAACAAGAGAACTAAGCACACAACTTCACAAATGCAGAGGGCCAAGGAAATTCCTGGATATCATTTAATGGACTCTTAATTTTGCCCAAATGGTGTTCAGTTCTCCACAATATACCACTGCAGCAGAGACAAAGCAGGGTCCTCACCATTTTACTGTCAATAATCAATAAATCTGTATAGAAGAAGTATATTGACTTTTGTTTTGACTTCATATCAGAATTGCCGTAAATCACATTGGGAAACTTCAGCTGGGTTTTTGTTCTTAAAATAACAGTAAAAACTAAGGTTTACTCTGGCAGCCTTTAGTCACCTCCTTATAAATTAATACATTTGCACCAAAAGAGTTTAGTCCAATGATCCTTTAGATTATCATATATTAGACGGAGAATTTAACTGCTTCAAGACCATCCTATAAAATTTAGTGATACAGGAGTTTTAAAATGACCAGACATTCATCTACTACCAATGCAAAATTCTGCTTAAAATTAAATACTATCCTGAATCACTATAAGCATCATTTGTTGTTTCCTCACTTTTCCTTATGGTAAAAATGCAAAGAATTCAGAGGGATTTTTTTTTCCTGGGAATTGGGCCAAGAAGAGGTTAAAAGATGAGCAGCAGAATTAGAGCTGCTCATTTTTTAATCTCCAATTTTAACTCTGAGATACAAAAAATCAATGACCACTAGGGGCAGGAAAGAGAACAAGAAAACTGTATGTGCTGCCATCTGGTGGTCATCTGCAAATCTAGCAGTTCTAAGAAAAATAGGATAACCATGTCCAACTCTAGGCTGCATCAATAAAAAGAGAGATGAAAAATGGACTGCCTTGAATTCAATCTGGATCACAAAGAATCTGTAGTAATTGATGATTATAGAGATAAAATAGAACCCAACACTTCCTCTATTGGTTTTTCCATTTATTTCAGCCATAAAAAGTATTTACTTTCAGACATGTAGTATTACAGAAATAATTGAATAAAAGTGGTATTTTGCAGAAAGACATTGGGAAGAGAAAGGCAGGCATTGAGAACAATTTGCACAACTGGTCTAACCTTATTTCTCAATAAATAGGGTCACCTTCCTCCTGCACAGCAGAATGCAAATTATCTTGATGTACTTCTTCCTTTCTTCCTCAGAAATAATTAAGCTAC